TTTGCTCCCACCAAGGCAAACGTGTGCGTCCCTTTAGGCTAACAGTTATTTAATGCGGCCAAGAGCTTGGCTGTCACCTAGAGAGGGTGCGCTGGGAACGAAATGGTGCCTGAAGGCTCTCGGAAGGGGGTTTCCCCCCAATGACTTACCCTCAAATTGGTAATGCATGGTTTGATGGATGCGTTCGGTGACACTGGCCAGCCATTCCTGGAAGGACAGGGTCACCTGTGACTCATCCAGCAGCTGATTACAGCCTAAAAGGAAAATGAAAGTGAAATCAGAAACTACCTCATCACACAAGTGAAGAATAGAGACGGGAAGGGAAAAAAATAACTGCGACAATCCCCATCCAGTACATGTGGGCCCCAAGGGTGGGGGAGAGGTGGCTGGGTAAGTGGCTGTATGTAGTCAAGTGTTTCCCATTTTACATTCACTACTTCCCCTGCTGCGCAGACCTGATGGCCTCTGTAAAAACAGAGCACAGAAAGGCGGCAGACAGCAGCACAGCGAGCAGAGCAGAGTGAGCGCTCACGCTCTGCCCGACACAATCTCCTCTGCTATTTTGGGCAGTTTCGTTTTTGGCGTGTCACCCTAGGAAAGCACTTGCAACTTTACCCAAGGGGCGTGCGCGTTTCCTAGCCAGCACGCTTTGAGCGCTGGGCGGGCTAGTCCGCCACAAGAGATCAGACCCCTGTGCGCACCAGAACTGGGTCAGGGTGACCAAAACAACAGACAGGCAAGCAGTAAACTGGCAGGTGGAAGGGAGAGGAAAAAGAAGACCTTTGTACCACTTTCTAGGCCAAAACTAAAGCTAAAAGACAAGAGCATTAAAGAAAGCTTTCTAGTCAGCCCAAGCCATTATCAGGAAGGAGCGTGGCTTTTTCCAAAGTGCGCCAAGTCATTGGGAACGCCCACAGATTTTCATGGGATTTGGACTGACCCTTAAGTCCCTGAACAGCTCATAAGCACATGCAAGTACACATCCTTCTCCTTAGTGATAAGTTATTACATACGCACACATGAAACGCTCCCTAAGGCGGCCAGGGTTATCTGAGTTTACATCTCGTTTACAGCTAGCACATTCCCCACGGCTCTCCAAGAGAGTTAGGTGCATAGCCTAACTCGGGCAGAGCCCGGTATGGCTGAACAAGTATTTACTGCTATAAAATACGGCTATTTGATGACTCTGGCCAGGATGGGTCTCCCCACGGTAGCTCTGTATATTAAGGATGCTATAGACACCGATGGTGGCAAAAGAGCAACAGTTCAGTTTACTACTGTGCCTGCTCTGAGTCACCTACTCAATTTTGTCTAGGAAGGCATATAATTGCATTAGCTTAATACCATTATAATGCCTGCCTGCTGGCTTGTCCACGACAACACTGACCCCCCCCATCCCACGCTTACTGAGGGCCACAGGCAGGCCAGCACCCTAGAGTTACGTGAGACACGCAGCTACCAGTCACACCAAGGCAGCAGAAGGCTCCCGAGCCCGACTTCTGCCTCCTAGAGAAACACGGAAGAAGTCCCCCGGGATCAGCAGAGCGACACAGGGGTGGGGGCACAGCCCCAGCCGCCCCCCTCGCGACAAGCGACGCGAGCCGAGGAGTGAGCTCGGCGTCTGCGTGGTCCCTGGGCGCTTCCGGGCATCCGCTGCTTTCGAGGCTGCGGCAACGAGCCTTACCTTGCCTTTTCAGCGACGAAGCAACGGCTGGCTTTTTCAGGCTGCTTTTCCTCAGGTTGCTGCTAGCTGCGTCTTGAGCCAGGAGAGGGCTAGTCACCTGCGTACCTGAAGTTCAAGTCGAGAGCGTTTCAGGGCACAAACCCCGGCAAGCTGCACGCGTCCTCCAGAGCCCCTCGCGCCCGTCGCCCCAGCTGCACCCCTCCCTCTGTGCCAGGGTAGGTGGGAGCAAGCGACTTTCCAGCTTAACCAAAAGTAGTCATAAAAAGACCCACTCAGACTCACTGCAGAAGCCTGACCGATACGTAGGGCCTGCCTGTAAGGCTGCCAGCCCAGCACCAGACAGCACACGAGGCCTGCTACAGCTCTCGGAGATCACAGGCGGGCTGCCCCTCCTGTAAGCACGCAAGCCAGACGACGGCTTTTCTCTCAGACAACATCCAGCTCCGCGATAACCGAAGCCGCAGCCCCTCCGACGGACGCTCACCAGATGTTACGTCCTTTTTCCTCTTCTTGGGCTTGGAAGCAGCAGTCTCGTCAGCTGGCGCTGCAGATTCGGGGCTGCAGACTAGCTGCGGCACGATGAGCCCTTTCAGGCCTAGGAAAAGTGACGCTCAGTCCTTAAAAGCTCCTTAACCGTTCCCAAGCACTCCTCCGTCCCACGCGCGCTCCCGTAACCGCTCCTGCGAGCGGCCTCAACGAAGCCGGCAGGCCCGATCCCACGCGTACAGTTACTCAGGCGAAGGAAAGAAAAACTAGAGACTTCACTAAGTAGTCGGGGCTTTGCTTTTTTGGCAGCTGCGCACACAGCCTAGCTTGGCACTCGCTCTGAACGACTCTCGACCTGGCGGGCAAGGAGGGCTTGCCAAAGCGCGGGGCAGCAAACTGGCCAGCCATCAACGAGCAACATTTCGATTCCCACGCTCTGAGTCACTGTTCCTAAAAACACAGGAAAACTAAACAAAAAGCGGGGGGGGACACCCAGACCTGAAAGGTAGGACTCGCATCAGCCCCAAAGGACAACTGTTTGACACAAAGTCCAAAAGGCTCGTTGCTTTTGTGGGGGGGGAGAGGGGGACCGGAGGAACAGAGCATTCAGCTTCCAAACAGCAAGATTCGCCCCCAAGCACGCGGCAGCCAGGTAGCCAGGTGCGCTCACGCAGGAGGATAACCAAGAACTACAAACGCTGCCAGGTTGCGCGTCTCTGGGTACAATCAAGTCTCCTTCCCCTTCAGTTCTTCCAAGCCTTAAGCCTCTTCTTCTCCCCACTCTCTGACCTGACATCAAACCCCGCGTTATCAGCACACCTCGGACCAGCTCTCAAGACGCTCACCCGGCCAAAAGCAAGCGCCGTTCCCGACGGCTACGGGCGCGGATCCAGCTGCCTTCCCCCCCCCGCCAGCCATTCCGCCAA